ACCAAAAGCTGATCGAGGAGTGGAAAGACATGGATGTCAGTGCCAACAAGCGACTGGGGTACTTGGAGCGGGGCATAGTAGAGCTGGAAAGGAAATTTCTCAAAAGAATTGAGGATTGCCAGAATGCTGAGGGAAATGATGGCGGACATCTAGCTAGAGCCTACCAATTGTTGGAACTTCGCAAGTTGGGAAAGCTGTTCGACGGAGCCAAAGATGCCGAGTCTGGGGAAGGTCCTTCTGGGACCAAGTAGATAGGAATTTACTTTTTTGTTTTATGAATGTAATAAGGCCAATGGCCACTAGTGATATTTTATTTCTTGTTATTTAGTGTCGATTTGGGATTAGTCTTACTTTCTATCAATAAAATGAGCATTTAGCATTCTAAGTTCTCCAAATCAACTTGTCGCCAGGCCTACCTCGGGCACAAAGAGGTTCCCAAATAGGACACGATTTACATTCTTGCAATATATTTAAATATCACAACATTTTATTATAATCCTCACTAACTTGTTACCTTTTTTATTTTAATTTTGTTTTATTATTCCCCTCCCCAAAGGTTAGTTTGTGCATTCTGGTAACATCATCTTATTACATGAGATCTAGGGGCCCTCCACCCACTCCTCCTTTTAGTTCTGTCAAAAACAAGAACAAAAGGAAGATAGAAGATTTGAACAACGCCAGAAAGGAGAACTCAACTGAACGGGTAGAGGTCACTGACGGCCATGGTACTCAGGTTTCCTAAGAAAATGCATCCCAACTCGAACAAAAGCTGCTGAAATTCCAAGAGAAACTTGATCAGGTTCGAAATCTGGCAAATCTGTCATTTTTCCTCACTACTCCAGATGTCAATTTCCCCAATGCTCAGAACCCCACTCCTCCACAAAATATCCCGAAGCCACAGAACCATCCCGCTCATCACCACCACTGTAACACCTGCCATACTTCCAACAATACCCCACTGCTCATCCTGGAACCCCAAAACTCCACAAATGACCACTTACACACCCATCATAACACCCCCATCTACGTGGAGACCATGCCACACTCAACCCAACCCATCTCAAGCACACTTGGGTCTGATGATAAGGACTTGCTCATCAGGAATCTGGTTGAAGAACTTAAGAAATTAACTAGCCGGATTCAAGGCGTCAAAGGAAGCAAAGGAATTTAGGGGTTGAACTATGAAGATCTCTGCATAGCCCGATGTTGAACTACCCAAAGGGTACAAACCTCCGAAGTTCGAAATGTTCGATGGTACAGGAGATCCAATGGTCCATCTGAGAACATACTGTGACAAGATAGTTGGAGTAGGGAAAGATGAGAGAATCCGCATGAAGCTTTTCATGAGAAGTTTGAAAGGAGATGCTTTGTCTTGGTACATCAGCCAGGATCCAAAGAAGTGGTCAATCTGGGTAAGCATGGCGTCCGACTTTATGGACAGGTTCAGGTTCAATACAGAAAATGCTCTGAACGTGTTCTATATTCAAAATCTAAAGAAGAAACCTATAGAAACATTTCACGAGTATGCTACTCGCTGGAGGTCCGAAGCTACTAAGGTCAGGCCTGCCTTAGAAGAGGAACAAATGAACAAATTCTTTGTTCGGGCTTAGGACCCGCAGTATTATGAAAGATCGATGATGGTTGAGAGCCACAAATTTTATGAAATTATCAAGTTGGGTTAAAGGATTGAAGAGGGCATCAAAAGCAGTATGGTTACAAACTTCGAGGCCTTGCAAGCCACAAATAAGGCCTTACAGTCCGGTGGTGTGTCCAAGAAAAGGGACGTAGGAGCCGTCATGGTGGCATAGAGAACCAAATCTCCTATAAATACCAAACCTACCCAATGAATCCACTCACATATCAGCCTACTCCAAACTACCAAGCACCCTCACCCGCTTACCAAACTCCACCATCCACTCATCAGTCATCTCCACCTCCCATATATTAGCCTACTTCACCCAGATATTCCCAACCTGCACATGTTTACCAAGCCTACAATACTCAACCATCCCACTATCAATCACCTCCTGCACGCCAAAACCTCCTTAGACCTCGACCAAATTTTGACCACAGACCTCCTAAACAATATACAGCAATTGCTGAACCTATTGACCAGTTGTACGAGAAACTCAAAGCCACTAATTATGTCACCCTTATCCCTGCTGCAACTCCTGAGAACCCTTCTCATTGGGTTAACCCAAACAAATCATGTGCATACCATTCCGGCATGAAGGGGTACACCATCAACGAATGTCGTTCTTTGAAGAACAAGATCCAGGCTTTGATTGACAACAAGATTATTGTGGAAAAGGAACCCACTCTGAATGTCCGCAATAACCCGCTTCCAGACCATAAGGGTGGAGATGTTCACATGATTGAAATAGAGGATGATTGGGATACCGAGGGGTCTATCGGGTTGATCGCAGAAGGTGATGACCCAAAGAAGCCAATAGTTACCCTTAATCTAATCATAGTCCAGATTCAGCCCTATGGGGATGCCGAGGTAAATATGCCTGTGCCACTTGAGTTTGAAACAACGTCATCTGCAAAGACAGCAGCACCAATTGAGGTCGAATTCATGTCTCCGACAAATGCACCTATACCATTCGAAGTTTCAGTTTTACCACCCAAGGGACATGCTCTGTTCGGGTTGAAGGTAGCCACGCTGATCCCAGTGATGATGTCGGCCATGATGCAATTCCACACAAAGGCTATACCATAGGACTAGATAGCTGAGGCAAGGAGGAAGGGCTAGGTCAGGTTCGAGGAAACTGTTGCCGCACAGGGTATGACGAGAACGGGTAGGGTCTATACCCCAGAACATCTAGCTGAGTCAAGCAAGTAGGCCTTCAATCGGCCGCCCATCATTGAGACAGGTCCACACGATCTTTGGAGAAAGATACAGGCCAAGGAATACTCAGTCATATACCAATTGAACAAAACACTGGCACAAATCTCCATACTTGCTTTGCTACAAAATTCTGAGGCACACAAGAATGCTCTGTTGAGGGAGCTGAGTGAAGCATACGTGCCAAGTAACATCACTGGCGGGGAAATGGCCAACATGGTAGGACAGGTATTGGAAAGTCACAAAATTACTTTTCATGAGGACGAACTACCGCCTGAAGGGCTGGGACACAACAAAGCACTACACATCACTGTGCAATACGAAGACTAGTCCATCAACGTGAAAGCTTTCAACGGTTCCCAAAGGTCCACCATTGGGGAAATTAGTCTGTGCTTACAGATAGGGCCAACTTGGTTCGATGTTGATTTCCAAGTGATAGACGTGCCAGCATCTTACAATCTTCTATTGGGACGGCCATGGATCTATGCTGCTGGGGCCGTAGCATCAATACTACATCAGGCGGTGAAGTTTGAATGGAATCACCAGGAAGTGATCATTCACGGTGATGGTAGCAACCCCATATACAGTCGCCAGACCATTCCATCAATCAAGGGGAGAAAAAAGTTGGGAGAAGAGACTTACCATCACATCGAATGGGTGAATGTTGTTGACAAAGACAAATGTTGGGATAACAAAATCGAGAACATGCTGAATTGGAGTGGGTACGAACCTAGCAAGGGACTCGGAAAAATCCTCCAAGGAATCGTTAAGCCCATAAAACTCAAGAAACATGGCACCACTTTCGGTCTGGGATATGAGTACACCTGGGAAGAATTCAACAACTGGTCGCCACTATGGCGCGGTCCTTACTATCCACTGGAGTAGCCAATACCAAATTTAGAGCAGATTTTCCAGCAGGCTGACATTGTTTATGGGTCAGAAGAAGAAGAAGCACTTGTAGCGGTAAAGAATTTGTTCCTAGAAGATAATGACATGGTCTGTTGTGTTGTTCTCGAGAAGGAGGGGGAGGAAGGCCCTTCCATATAGGTCGTAAGCAGAGGGGCACACCTCAATAATTGGACAATCAGGACAACCAGAGCCCGTCGAGCCTCGAGGTAGCAAGGCTAAAACATGCATCATGCACTGTTTTTATTTATTGAATGATTTTCCTTTCGCATTTTAATTCCTGCAATAAGATCTCCAATGTTCAAAACGATTATGTGATTTATTAAAGCATTTTGACTTTTCTTATGAATCAATACTCATTATTTTTCTCTCATTACTTTACTTATATAGCATTACTATTACTTATCTTGATGAACCAATGACTGTGACATGCAATGAGACAATGCAACAAACGGACATTGATTTAGAGGAAGACGACATACCAGAAGATATTGTAAAGGAATTTGAGAATTTTGAGAACAGACCTAAGTCCAACCTGGATGAGACCAAGATTGTTAACTTGGGAGATGCAAAGAACGTCAAAGAAATGAGAATCAGTGTCCACTTATCGCCATTAGAAAAGAAGGAATACACAGAATTTATAAGGGAATATGAAGACATATTCACTTGGTCGTATGATGTCATGACTGGTCTGAGTACATCTATTATGGCTCACAAACTACCAATCGATCCAACATGTCCACCGATAAAGCAAAAGCTCAAAAAGTTTAAGTCTGGCATGAGTCTGAAAATCAAGAAAGAAGTCACTAAGCAAGTCAAAGCCAAGGTTCTCAGGGTAGTAGAATACCCAACATGGTTAGCCAACATTGTGCCAGTACCAAAGAAGGATGGGAAGGTCAGAGTTTGTGTCGACTACCATGATTTCAATTGGGCCAGCTCGAAAGATGACTTCCCCTTGCCAAACATACACATCCTGATCGACAATTGCACCAAGCATGAATTGCAGTCATTTGTGGATTGTTTCGCTGGGTATCATCAGATTTGGATGGATGAAGAAGATGCTGAAAAAACGGATTTCATTACGCCATGGGGAATGTACTGTTACATGATGATGTTGTTTGGCTTGAAGAATGCAGGGGCCACCTACATGAGGGCCATGACTACCATCTTCCATGATATGATACACAAGGAGATAGAGGTGTACGTAGATGATGTTATTATCAAGTCCATGAAAGCCATTGACCACATGGAAGATTTGAGGAAGATCTTCAAGAGATTACGAAGGTACAACCTGAAACTGAATCTCGCGAAGTATGCATTTGGGGTTCCTGCCGGAAAACTACTTGGGTTTATTATGAGTCGTCGAAGAATAGAACTGGATCCATCAAAGGTTAAAGCTATTTAAGAATTGTCACCGCCAAAGAATAAGAAGGACGTGATGAGTTTCTTGGGGAGACTTAACTACATTAGCCAGTTCATAACACAATCTACAGTTATCTGTGAGCCAATCTTTAAGATGTTAAAGAAAGACGTTGCTACAAAATGGATTGATGACTGCCAAAAAGTTTTTGACATAATCAAGGAGTACCTGTCAACACCACCGGTTTTGGTCCCGCCCGAGCTAGGAAGACCTCTATTACTCTACCTTGCAGTATTAGATGGAGCTTTCGGTTACGTTCTGGGGCAGCATGATGAGACAGGAAGGAAGGAGCAGGCCATCTATTATCTCCGTAAGAAGTTCACCCCGTACGAGGCCCGGTATTCTCTTTTAGAATGCACCTGTAGTGTTTTGACTTGGGTAGCTCAGAAGCTGAGGCACTACTTCTGTGCCTATACTACATATCTCATATCAAGGATGGATCCCTTGAAGTACATCTTTCAGAAGCCCATGCCCACTGGCAAGCTAACCAAGTGGCAAATCCTGTTAAATGAGTTAGACATTGTTTGCCTAACTCATAAAGCGATCAAGGGACAGGCATTGGCATATCACCTTACTGAAAATCCTGTGGGTGGAGAGTACAAATCCCTGAAAACATATTTTCCTGAAAAAGAGGTATCGTTCATAGGAGAGGACATTGCAGAATCCTATGATGGTTGGAGAATGTTTTTCGATGAAGCAACAAATTTCAAAGGAGTTGGCATAGGAGCAGTCCTAGTATCAGAAACTGGTCAGTATTATCCGGTGTCTTCCAAACTCAAGTTCCCGTGCACCAACAACATGGCCAAGTATGAAGCCTGCATCTTAGGGCTCAAGATGGCCATTGACATGAACATTCAAGAGTTGCTAGTGATCGGAGATTCAGACCTACTTATACATCAGGTCCGAGAATAATGGGCAACAAAAAACTCCAAGATACTCATGTATCTGCATCATGTACAATAATTAAGAAAGAGGTTCACAAAGAAAGAATTCCAACATATTCCCAGAATCCAGAATGAGTTCGCCGATGCATTGGCTACCCTATCTTCCATGATACAACATCCAAACAAAAACTTCATTGACCCCATTCCGGTAAAGATCCATGATCATCCAGCTTATTATGCTCATATTGAGGAAGAAGCAGACGGAAAACCTTGGTTTCATGATATCAAAGAATATTTGACGAAAGAAGAATACCTAGAGCTCGCAAATCCTACTCAGAAGCACACACTTCGGAGGTTATCCAACAATTTCTTTTATAGCGGAGGAATCCTGTATAGCAGGACTCCTGATTAGGGATTGCTAAGGTGTATCAACACAAAAGAAGCATCCAGGCTACTCGAGGAAATTCATGTTGGGACCTGCGGTCCACATATGAATGGTTTTGTTTTAGCAAAGAAGATACTCCATGCTAGTTACTTTTGGATGACTATGGAGACGGACTGCATCCAGTATGTCCGGAAATGCCACCACTGCCAGATACATGCCGACATGATAAAGGTATCTCCAAGCAAGCTTAATGCAACAAGCTCACCATGGTCATTCGCCGCTTGGGGAATGGATGTTATTGGACCAATCGAGCCTACCGCCTCCAACGGGCATAGGTTTATCCTAGTAACAATTAACTATTTCACCAAATGGGTCGAAGAAGAATCTTACAGAGCAGTGACCAAGAAAGTCATGGCAGACTTTGTCTGCGACCATATCGTTTATCGATTTGGGACTCCAGAATCAATTATTACTGATAATGGCTCCAACCTCAACAGTGACTTAATGAAAGCTATGTGTGAAACCTTCAAGATCAGACACAAGAATTCTACAGCCTACAGACCTTAGATGAACGGAGCAGTAGAAGCTGCCAATAAGAATATCAATAATATATTGAGGAAAATGATAGAGAAGCATAAACAGTGGCACGAGAATTTATCGTTCGCCTTACTGGGATATTGCACCACAGTCTACACATCAACCGGGGCAACCCCCTATATGATAGTTTACGGTACAGAGGTCGTCATTCTCGCTGAGGTAGAAATTCCCTCCCTAAGGATCATACAAGAAGCTGAGCTCGACGATGCAGAGTGGGTAAAGAGTTGTTATGAGCAGCTAGCTCTTATCGATGAAAAGAGAATGAATGTAGTTTGCCATGGTCAACTTTATCAGAACAAAATGTCCAGAGCTTTCAATAAAAGAGTCAAGCCGAGACAGTTCACACCGGGGCAGCTGGCGTTAAATAAAATCTTTCCACATCAAGATGAAGCCAAAGGGAAATTTTCTCCCAATTGGCAGGGTCCGTACATGGTTCACCGGGTTCTAACATGAGGAACCCTCATACTTGCAGAAATGGACAGAGAAGTCTGTACATAGCCGATCAATTCAGATGCAGTCAAGTGTTACTATGTGTAATCTTTATGCTTTCCTATAAGATATAAGTTGAACTACGCCTGACCTGATTCCCGTTTAAGAGGGGATACGTAGGCAGCCCAATGGGTTCGGTCACAATTTAATAAAACTTTTATTTCCCCCCGCAATTGGAAACTGGGGCAGAATTTTGAGGAAGGCTCTCAAAATTCTGAAGTTAATTTCAGCCAATCATTGCTAGCAGTAGTCAAAAGCATCAATCCATTAAACTGGGGCAGAATTTTGAGGAGGACCCTCAAAATTCCATAACAAGAAGGGTTGCAATGTCTTGAACCACGTCGCAATCGATGGTTCATCTAAAGAAAACTATTCTTAATTATGTATTTATTGTTACATTTTCTTTACTAAATCATGCATGTTTAATTCTGAAATCGCTCTGTTTAGAAACACTACCCCCAACAATACGTACAACGTCACCATATCAAAGCGAGTAGGTCAAGCAGAGCCAGCGGGGATACGAACTAACCTCCCCTCTTTACAAAACTCACGATTTTTTACTTGAGTTGCAAAATCATCAAATATACTATACACTCACGAGACTCACATCACTCAGAAATACAACTCTCAAAACCGTTGCACTTACTCAAAACTGCTATCCGCACACAGTGTCCCCAGCAGACATAGTATCCCCAGCAGTCGCAATAACGCAATCCGCAATCAGCTAAGAAATTCTATTGTCATTTTTGCCCTTTTACTTCTTGCATAAGGCTACCATTCTGCCTTTCGAGACTAAGCTCTGTCTCCATCTGCATTTCTACATTGTATAAGGCTACCATTCTGCCTTCCGAGACTAAGCTCTGTCTCCATCCGCATTTTTGCATTGCATAAGGCTACCATTTTGTCTTCTGAGACTAAGCTCTGTCTCCATCTGCATTTATGCATTGCATAAGGCTACCATTCTGCCTTCCGAGACTAAGCTCTGTCTCCATCTGCATTTATGCATTGCATAAGGCTACCATTCTGCCTTCCGAGACTAAGCTCTGTCTCTATATGCATACTTGCATTGCATAAGGCTACCATTCTACCTTCCGAGGTTAAGCTCTACCTCAATTTGCATGGCTGAAAGATCGCCACCTTATTTACATTTGCATGGCTGAAAGATCGCCACCTTATTTACATTTGCATGGCTGAAAGATCGCCGCCTTATTTACATTTGCAGTGGCTGAAATATTGCCACCTTATTTACATTTGCATGCCTGAAAGATCGCCGCCTTATTTACATTTGTAGTGGCTGAAAGATCGCCACCTTATTTACATTTGCATGGCTGAAAGATCGCCACCTTATTTACATTTGCATGGCTGAAAGATCGCTGCCTTATTTACATTTGCATGGGCTGAAAGATCGTCACCTCTACATTTGCATGGGCTAAAAGATCGCCACCTTATTTACGTTTGCATTGGCTAAAAGATTGCCACCTCTACATTTGCATGACTGAAAGATCGCCATCCATTACATCTCATCGGCTGAAAGATCGCCACCTACTGCATCTCATGGGCTGAAAGATTGCCAAATTATCCGAAGGCGTCATTGTTCGGAGGCACCATTTTCATAGCCTGAGAACACCATATCATGGCCTGAGGACCCCTTTTAATCTTTTGCATATCATTATTCAAAGGCATCATCATCATAGCCCGAGAGCATCATTTCATTGCCTGCAAATCCTTTATTATACGCTTTATGGCCCAATAAAACATGGTCTAAGGACGTCATCCTAAACGTTCGAGGACAAAAATTCATGGTCGTGGGAATTTGCATCATGTTTAAATTTACGCACAATATATGCTTGTGTTGCTTATTTGCAGGTAAGACGGCAAGCAATGGCCATCTCAGCAGGAGCAATCCCGCTCCAGTTCCCGCAGCCCTGTTAGACTTTGACTATTCACCTCGTCCTCAATATCACATTCGTTCTTGAAAAGTCTCCATCGGCATACTCTTCCGGCGGATCCTGAACTACATATGGCCTGATTCCTGTAAGACCAGGGATACGTAGGCAGCTCAGCCAGAGCACGGCCAAACCTCTTCAAATCATTTCGTTCAGTCAAAATTGGTCATTATATCTTTACTCGACAACTCTTTCATCCTTTCCGGGTAAAGAGGGGCAGCTGTTGATACCCAATTTTTTCTTGTATATTTTTTAATATGCAAAATACTTTCACAATAGCATGTATATGCATATATAAGTATTTCCAAAGGTTTTCTCATTTTTCCTTAATTTTTAAAGATTTTCAAAAATTAATTTATTGCCCTATTTTATCACGAAAAACCCAATAATTATTCCCAAAATTATCTTTTTGGTAATTCATTTATTGAATTCTCATATTTATTCTACAATATACCTAACATAATTTTTTGCATATTTTCACAAATTTATTTTGCATTTTTAAAGCTAAATTGTATATAATTGCAATATTGGCCTCTTTTAAAATATAAATCGTATTTATATTTATTAAATTGACTCCAGTATTTTTCATTTGATAATTATGTATTATTAATCATTTTAGTGCTTTTAATTTATTCTCATAAATTATTTTATTATTTTTATAAAATCAAG